CGCCCCCCACACCAGTGCTGGATTCGTCCCCTTTGCAGCCATCAGAGTCATAAATCCCTTGGCTGCCACAAAGGGCAGGGCAGGGGCAGGCAGTAGATGATGGATCTTTATAACCCTCCCTGCCACTTCCAGGAATTTAACCTAAGAAGAAATTTGGACAAGTGGGCACAGATTTATGCACAAGAAGAATTACTGCGGTATTTTTACACAGGGCCACGGCCCCTGATCCACGTGTCCAAAAATCTCTAGAAAGTCCATAGGAAATTTTTTTTCAGGTCGACACCAAATTTCATTTAGAAACAAAATCTCCATGGAACTGATTTGTGGTTGTAGCCACTAGATGTGATCAGTTACATGTCACTTCAGAAGAATTATTATATTTCATCCCAGGGTATTGCCCCACTGAGGGAATGTGTCATATATGATATAGTCACCATATACTTTTCTAAACTCTGAAAAAATATAAATTGTGAAACCAACAGGTCCCAAGGATCTTGGATAAAGGATGGTGGGCCTCAGATAGTGAAAAACCATGAAGAACCTAAATGCCCATCAATAAGAGACTGGTTAAATACTTGGGTAATGCACAGAATGAAAATCTATAAGGCCATTAAAAACTTGAAAGGGGAATTCATGTTTGTTGACAAGGAAATGAATACATGACATGAAGTTGAGTTTAAAAAAAGCAAGTCACAGAATAGCACATACATTTGATCTAAATAATACATGTTGTATCAGATCTAGCTCTCAGTGCAAATGTGTTCAGAAATAACAGGGAGGGCAAGCACCCAACTGCCAGAAGAGGTTGGGCCTGGGTGTGCGGGTTTAACCTTTTTGTCTACACTTTTGGTGCCGTTTGAATTTTCTTTTTAACATGAACAGGTATAATTTTAGAATCAGAAAACAACAAGAATGCCTGGCCGGCGTGGCTCGGTGGTCGAGCATTGACCTATGAATCAGGAGGCCACGGTTCAATTCCTGGTCAGGGCACATGACTGGGTTGGGGGCTTGATCCCCAGTGTGGGATGTGCAGGAGGCAGCCAATCAATGATTCTCTTCTCATCATTGATGTTTCTATCTCCCTCTCCCTCTCCCTTCCTCTCTGAAATCAATAAAACTATATTTAAAAAAAAGAAAACAATAAGAATGATGCTTTTGATTCAACAAAAATGAAAGCTTCCCTGCAAGGGTGTCACCTGCATAGACATGTCTATGGGCAGATCCCACTCAGAAGTCTCCAGAGACACACACTGCACTGATTGGAACACCGCCCCCACGAACACAGGCCTCACAAAGACCCAAAGGCACTGCAGAGCACATGCAGGCCAACAGGCGTCCACCGGCACAACAGCCAACAGCTTCAAGCTGCTGGGAGTAAACCCAGTCACAGTGTGCCCCGTGGCCAATTCCTCCATCGCCACAACAATATTTCAGGACCCCAACTTTCAAGCAGATCCTTCCTTCCCTGTGAGCACCTACATCTTCTAATCCATTTCAACCTAAGGCTGTATTAATAGAGGCTGAGCATCCAGAAGGAAGGAGAGCATAATAATTGTTTAGGTTTAGGACCCACGTTTTTGCTTGACTAACAGCCCCAGTTTTACTATTTACTAGCTGTGTGTCAGTTGATGGTTGCTTAATCTCTCTGTGCTTCAACTTTCTTATCCATAAAGGAGGGCTAAAAATACACCCTACATCATAGATTTGTTGTGGAGACTAAATGAGAAGATAAAGTGCCTAGTGCAGAGTAAAATTCAATCAATAGTACTCATCTTTATTATTATTTTTTCATACAAGGCTGCACTTACATGGCCAGACCTAGGAATAATAGTTGAAAAGGAATAAAGGCCAGACCTAGAAGTAATAATAGTTTAAAACAACTGTCGCCAACCTTTCGGACCTCGTGGACCGCCAGTGGCCCGCGGATCACTGGTTTAAAAGGAATAAAGGCCGCAGACAGTGGAGAGAAACCGGATGGGCAAGGCAGTTCAGGCCATGTCACGTGAGAAACAAAGGAGCTTGGAGAATGAAGACTTGGGGGCGGGAAGTGATGGCTACCTTACCATATTTGAAAGGCTGATCCACGGAAGGGGACTCTGGTTTATTCTATGTGGCCTCAGTGGCTATTATCACGTGCTCTGAGATGACCACCTTTCCATACACAGTGGCCTTGTCCACTGAGCTCCTTGGAAGAAATTCCAACATGGCAAGGAGGGTCATGGCTGCCCTGGCCTTTATCATGAGTGAGAACCAACTGGTAGAAGCTAGAGACAGATTTCCACTCAAGAGAAATGAAAACTTCCCAATAGTCAGAATGTGCTTCCATGGGAGGCAGTGAGCTCCTTGTTAATGGGGGGAAATTCAAGAAGTTTGAAAACTCATGGCAGGGCATCTAAACATTCACTGCTCTGAAGGATTTTGAGAGTGAGACTCTGAATTCCCTTCATTCAATGCAGCTATCCCTCAAAACAGGGTTGGAATGCGTCCTTTAGGACTTCCTATGGACTTAGTAGTACATGCCTTTGAGTACACCCAGGGGTGGTGGCTCTTCGACCCATGAGGGTGGATTTATTGAGAAAACAGCTGTGGCTGCTCAGCACCAAGTCTGATGACTGATTTGAGGGTGAGGAAATTGGGGAGCCCTGTTCTGTAATATAAAGTAGCAAGGCTGTTTCCCTTCGTGCTTGATAAACTCACTCCAGAGGCCAAGTTTACTCTAAACTGCCTGGTCCTGTTCATCGAATGCTGCCTTCATTCTAGTTCCTTCCCCAGCCCGGAAACCCTGAGAGGCCCCTGCCTGAGAAACCCTCCAGGGCCTGCTCCCTGCCCAGCACAGTCCAGCACATCATAAGCAACAAACACACTGGTACCAAATGGTGATTTATATGCACTGGGGACCCCTGGGACTCAGGATGTATTTCAGCCTCCATCAGGCTGCCCTTGGCATTATAATCCAGCAGCAGCAAGCAGATCTGTCCCAGCAGAGCTCACCTAATCCAACTTAGATAGTTTTTCATCAAAGATTCATTGTAAGAAAAATTACACAAAACAGAACAGGGACAAGGGGGCGGGGAGGAGCTCTCAGGTATTTCAACCAGCATGTTTCCTGTCGTTCACAGAAAGACTGGTTGAGCACACTCTGTTAACTCGCATGTCCCTCGGGTTTACCCTTCATTGTCTAGAGGAGTCCCTGTCCTGTCTCAGTGTGGCACACCTCAAAGCGGTAAAACTGATGGGAGAAGGAGCCCACCACATCCCCGTCAGTCACCAACACATTGGAGAGTCTTTTGAACCCAAATGGACCTTGGACTCCCTGATCCGAGATAACCACCCAGGCTCAAAACAAAAGCACACCCAGCCTTGCTTTGGTCAGTATGCTCTCATGTACCAGGCAGACACGGAGGCTCCAGGAAAGGCCTTTAGAAAAAAAGGACCATTGTTAGATGTTTCCACCCCAGCAGAGATTGAAAAGGGGCAAAAGCACCACATTGGGCCACCCAATATTCCCTCTCCATGTTTTCACCACCATGGGACAGTGGCTGCCAAAGATGGGTCCATAATGGGGCTAGATCCCTAATGGATTAGCTTAGCTATGTGCTCTACTCAAGTCACAATAAAAAGGGAAGTCACTCTACCTCACCTCAAACAGGAAGGAAATGGGCTTCAACACTATCAAGCCCTCTTTGAAAATCAAGTAAGACCATGTCTTAACCAATCATGGATTGCAAGATGCATCATTGGAAAGGGGGTCAGTTGTAAGTATTTAGGGGAAATCAGCCAGAGGGGAAGGATTTGCCTTTACCTGGGCTCTTGGCAAAGGACTCCCCTGAGCAGCTGTTATGAAGACCCATCCTCTCATTGGCCAGCCCCACAGTGGAGACAATGTCCTGTGTGTCACTTGATCAGTCCCAAGAGCATCTGCCTCACTCCCTGCTTACCAGGAAGCCTTCCCCAGAGAGATGGGAAGCACAGGTACCTTCCCCTCCAAGTGTCCTGTTCTCCTACCTTTGGGCAGAGGCATCCCAGTGCCCACCGGGCTCATGAGTCAGTCCCCTGAGCCTCCATGAGCACCCACAAAACTAAGCTTTTGGGCCAGCAAAGCTAAGGACCAGGCCTTGACCACAGTGACTTCCTGGGTCTGCACCTCGAGGTGTTTTATCAAAAGTCAGAGTTGTACAGATGACACCACAATCCCCACACATACATACGCAACACACAATGCTGCTCCAGAATTCCACAAACCGTTACCCCTACGCCCCTCACACCCTCTCCTCCACGTACCATCATGCACCAAACTGCAGGTAGGCCTTTCCCCTGATGCCTGCGCTAGCCCAGGCAGCTGACGCCCAACACGAATAATTCAGGCTGTACTCAGCCCAGGCCCTCCTGAGCCAGAGCCAGAGTGCCATCCAACCCTCAAAGACCCCAGACTCACCACTGGAGCAGTCGGGTCCTCCCCAGCCAGGCTCACAGTGGCAGGTGTCGGGGGAAACACAGCGGCCGTGCACGCACTCCTCCGTACACAGGGCTACAGGGGCCGGGAGAGAGGGAGGAAGAACAGGAACAGACAATGAAAACCAACCATCTGGTCAAGGAGCATAAACCACTTTACAATGACTCCCCCAGGCCCATGGATGTGCCGAGCGCATCACTGGCTTTGGAGAAAAACCAAGCCACCCCAGACCTCAGCTATTTAATTAACTCCGAAATGCATCCCACTAGAGTGTGCTTCATCCCAGCCTTGTTTCCTGAGGTGAAACCCAAGCCTGAAGAATGGCGGCCTTGGTGGCTTTTCAAGAATGTCTTCTGCAAGGTTTAACACTCGGCGACTCTCCGTGAAGCCTCACCCCTCCATCCACACCCTTGCTCTTTCCCCGTCTGCTCGGGAAATGACCTGTCACACCCATCATTTGCTTTCCCCAATTGCTTTCTGCCATGAAATCTATCAGGCTACCCGAAAGGAATGGGTTCCTCTCCTGCTTCCCCCATCTTTCGGCCATCCTCCCCAAATGTCCCTATTTTTGAGGCTCTCAAATGTCAGCAAATCTGCAAAGTACACAAATGCTGAGGAAAAGGCAACTGCTAATTATAAGAAAGTAATTAAGAAAGACATCCACGATAATGATAATTGTAATTAGGAGGTGCCTGGCAATTTCTTATCACGCAGTCAAAGGCTATAGCCTCCTGAGCTGGGAAGCAGCAGCGGCGAAGTTTCCATCAACTGCTCCAGCGCGGAGACGGCTTATTGGCAGTACTTTGAGGCCGGGGGAGATTACGGCTCTCTTCCTCTGACCTCCACATTTCCTCAAGGTCATTTGCTCCTGAGAGATCTGCCCCACCATCTAAGCCATCAGTGAAGGATTACAGAAGACCCCATGGCCACCTCCGCCAATTGTGTGAGCTTGGGAAGTCAGCAGCTACCACCAACCCTGCCCGTTCCTTTCTTTTTTTTTCTTTTAAACATATTTTATTGATTTTTTACAGAGAGAAAGCGAGAGGGACAGAGAGTTAGAAACATTGATGAGAGAGAAACATCAATTCAGCTGTCCCCTGCACACTCCCCACTGGGGATGTGCCCACAACCAAGGTACGTGCCCTTGACCAGAATCGAACCTGGGACCCTTCAGTCCACAGGCTGATGCTCTATCCACTGAGCCAAACCAGTCAGGGCCCTGCCCGTTTCTTAGGAGGGAGCGAGATGAAGCACATTCTTCGGACAAGCAGCTAGCGCCCTTCTCTCTGCCTAGCACTGGCCTGGGGCAGCAGGTGGCCCCGATCATAAAGGCTGTCCCTCAGCTACAAACACCCCCCTGCTTCCACACCCAATGCCTGGCTTGAGAACCCACCGAGACGTTAGACAACAAAGCCCATTTCATGTTGGTGTGGTGTCCTCTGGCCCCTCCTAAACACAGACGCTGACCCTGATGCTGTTGCCTTAGCTTTGGCCAGGCCGCCAGGCAAGGCAGACCCAGAAGAGCCACTTCAGATGCCGCCTGGTGAGTGGTCTGTAGTCAGCTTGTCCTCTGCGAGAGCCCTGGCACCCAAGTCCTCACAGGTACAAGTCACTTTGAGCAGAGTCCGGTTTGTGTTGAAGACTTCCACAGCCCCTCACTTGGAGCTCCGGGGCCTACCAGCTATCCTACTTCTTGCTGGGGAAACCGGCCAGACCCTGACCCCAGCGACCAGCTCCTCTTAGAATAGCAGTTCTCAACCTGTGGGTCGCGACCCCTTTGGCGGTTGAACGACGCTTTCACAGGGGTCACCTAAGACCATCCTGCATATCAGATATTTACATGACGATTCATAACAGTAGCAACATTACAGTTATGAAGTAGCAACGAAAATTATTTTATGGTTGGGTCACAACTAAGAAACTGTATTTAAAGGGCCAGAAGGTTGAAAACCACTGTCTTAGAACTACATGAGCTGCTCACCCGGCTGCTAACAAGACCCCAGCTGGTCATCCCTGCTGCCCTGGCTCCCCGCGCTCCCTCCAGACTTTCCAAACAAGCTCGAATGGGTCAATGTTCCCAATATATGCTGGACACCATGTGCCCCTCCCCACCCCCTGGCTGGGCCCGGCCAGCTTCTAGCTCTGGCCTCAGCTGCTCCTTCTTCCCTCCATCTCTCACTCCCAGCATGCTCCACAGCTGGGCCCCTCTGCCTTCCAGCAGACCCTTCCCATCAGCCTGTCAGATGAGCTCATGACACCTCCCCCTGCTTTCTGACCAGAAAGCAGCTCTTTGATCCCTGGGGGTTCTGTCAGGTGTAGAGAGGGCAGTGAACCTACCAAGTGTCAGAGAAAATCATGCCAACCCCGTCACTGTAAACATGGAGAAACTGAGGCCTCCGTGCCCTGACCTCGTGGACATATGTGGCCTCTTGGCCAGGGAGGAAGGGGCTTGGGGACGAGGCTACTGGGAACAGAGGCCTGTGAAGGCAGAGAGAGGTGAGAGGTGCCCAAGACCATGGGGCCTTCACATGTCACCCAAATGCGACGTCCTCCCCTGCCCAGAAGCCTCAGGGGCTGGGGGAGCCGGTCCAGAGGGAACAACATAGGGGTGCTGTGGTTGACCCCCAGGAGGGTGAGAGCGGGAGAGAGAGGACAGAGGAGCATCTACAGGGTGGGGCTGAGAAGCGGGCTCAGAGCTGCTCAATGGAAGTACTTGGGGACC